TGAATAGAGTCACTTGTGTTTGCACTTCTAAAAGTAACTAAAGCTGGGAGGTCAAAAGAAAATAGTTGGGCTGGGAAGATGGCTCAGTGGTAGAGCGCTTGCCTTGCATGCATGAGGCCCTGGGTTCGATTCCTCAGCACCACATAAGCAGAAAAAGCTGGAAGCGGCACTATGGCTCAAGTGGTAGAGAGCTAGCCTTGAGCTGAAGAGCTGAGGGACAGCGCCCAGGCCCAGAGTTCAGGCCCCATGAACGCAAAAAAAAAAAAAAAAAAAGAATATCAATAGTAATTATTCAATATTACAGCAGCCAGAACAATAATAGTTGGAATAAAAAAGACGATCACTACAATAAGATGTCCATAAAGGACTTTTAAAAGTTCCAACAAAGGCTGGGAAAGTGGCTCAGTGGTAGAGTGCTTGCCTTGCATGCATGAGACCCTTGCTTCAATTCCTCAGCACCACATAAGCAGAAAAAGCTGGAAGTGGCACTGTGGCTCAAGTGGTAGAATGCTAGCCTTGAGCTGAAAAGCTTGAGGGACAGTGCCTAGGCCCAGAGTTCAGGCCCCACAACCGACAAAAAATAAAAAATAAAAAAATTCCAACATATTGTTGGGCACTGGGGACTCATGCCTATAATCCTACTTTACTGCTAGCCTGGGCAGAAAAGTGATAAATGAGACTCTTATCTCCAATTACCTACCAAAAAGCCAAAAGTGGAGCTGTAGCTCAAATGGTAGCACACTAGACTTGAGCAACAAAGCTCTGGAAGAGTACCCAAGGCCCTGAATTCAAGCTCCAGGACTGGCACATGGGCACACACTGCCCCCTCCCCCCCAGTTCCAATATATTCCTGTGAATTCAGAAGGGGACACACACACACACACACACACACACACACATACAATTTCAACATATTCCTAGGAATTCACAAGGCCATCAGCAAGTAAGTCCCCAGGGAAAAGCTGAAAAGATCCCCATCTCTTACCTACCACTGAACATTGAGTCATTCCTGCAAAGTCAGGAAATGAAATCAGTTCTATAAAATGAACACTAACACCACCTGTAGGAAATACTAGAAAACATACTCCTTTAAAGTATTATTTAAGGAAATATCTGTTCAATCATTAGTTGAGAACTAAGTTAACTGAACAAAGATAATGGGGGTCTACACATGGCATACAATACCAACTTTATAAAATTATTTCAGGAAGGTCTCTAGATAGTGGCAACAAAAACAGTGACAATAAAAGAACCAGCAAAGCAGGAACACAAAGGGGAATAAAAAGGATTGAAAAGAAACTGCCCTAAGGATTCCCACATTGAACACCCTAAATGAAGACTCAAAATCAGGTACTATGAATATGTTCAAAAACAAAGCATGAGAACAGTATCACATCAAACTTAACATAAATAAGGATATATTTTTTAATCAGTTCAGAATACTGTAGCTGAACACAAACATTTTAAATGAAAACTCAATGAATGGGCTCAACAGCAGATTAAAGCAGACAGCACCATAGCTAGTCTCAGAAACAAGAAAAAAAAAGGCTTAAGAGACACCATCAAACATACCATAATAGCAAAGCCAGAACGACAATATACAGAAAAGGATGGCAGAATACTTGAAGAAACTCATATTTGGTTTAGAAAAATTAATCTACATGTGGAAAAAGCTAAATGATCTCAAACTGGGATAAAATCTAAAAGATTTACTCATAAATGTATCTTCGTCAAAATGCTGAAAACCAAGAAAACAAACTCTTGGGCCAGAGAAAAATGACTCATCACTTACAACTAAACCTCAGTAACAGCAAGAGGCAATATCAAATCAGGAAGCATGGAGGCCAGAAGGCAGTGAGATAATCAGAGAAATGCTAATCAAACCTCAGAAACTTCAACTCACTCCTCAAAATGGCTATCATCAAGAAAACAAAAACACTGCTGAAGAGTGGGGGAAGGAATCCTTATACACTGTGGGGTGAAATTTAAATTAGTGCAGTCCTGTGCAAATCAGCATGGAGATTCCTCAAAAAATTAAAAAAATAAACTTACCATATAATCTTAACTGTGCCATTTCTGGAGATACATATATATGCATATATATGTGCATACATATGTATGTGTATATATATATATGTATGCAATATATATGCAAAAGAAAGTCAGCTTAATATACATATATCCGAACACTCATGTTTATTGAAGCAATACTCACAATAGCTGTTATGGAAGAATGGTTAAGAAGACTGCAATACATAAACAGAATTTTTTTTCAGCCAAAGAATGAAATTATGTCTACAAGAAAACGGATGGAACTAGAGATCATATATTAAGCAAAATGAACTAACCTCAGAGATAAATATCACATTTTCTCTTGTATGTGAAGGGAGGAAAGGACATTAAAGTAAAAGGGGGGCAATTAGAGATATGAATGGAGAGGAGAGACACAAAAGTAATGGAGAAATGAATATGACCAAAGTACATTATATGCATGCAAAGAAATGTCATAATAAACCCATTACTTTATACAACTAATATATGTTAGTAAAGATAGAGAAAATAGGAAGTGGTGCTGTGGCTCAAGTGGTAGAGCACTCGCCCTGAGCTGAAGAGCGCAGGTACAGTCCCCAGGCCCAGAGTTCAAGCCCCACGACCATCAAAAAAAAAAAAAGAGATTGAAAGATAGAGAAAATAATTAAAGCAATTTGATGGCTTAATGAAAGTAAAAAAAAAAAAAGACTATCAAAGAGAACTAAGAATGGAGAAAAAAATGTTTAAAAAAAAATAAGGGGTTGGGGGACAGGGTATGGCTCAATGGTAAAGCATTTGTCTCACATGCCCAAGGCCTTGGGTTCAACTCTGCAAAAACTATTAAATTTAAAATATTCCCTGAAATAATAACAACAAAAGTTTCCCATAGCAAGTC